TAGTTTAGTTAGGCTTGCTTATAAAAATATAGTTGAGATTATTTACTAGTGTATGGGTAGTTCACCAGTGACTGTGTCACTGAAGGAAGTCCATCTTTGTCTCCCAGCAACCATGAACTGTCTGTAGCTCCTCAGGGAGGGGTAGGCCTCCTGTGCCCCTCCCCATTCCATGATGGAATGTTTCTGGGCCCAATCCTTTTTTTTTTCTTTTCCTGATTTCTTTTTGTTTCTATTTTTTATTTAAATTAGAAATAAACTTGTTTTTACATATCAATCCCAGTTCCATTTCCCTCCCCTGCCCCCAACTAACCCCCTATCCCATTTCTTTATGCTCCCCAGGGAAGGTGAGGCCTTCCATGGGGGAGCTTCAAAGTCTGTCATATCATTTGGGGTAGGGCCTAGGCCCTCTCTGGGACCAATCTTATTGCAGGTTTTAAACAGATATCACAGCTGCTGAGACAAGAATGGCATGACCATGTCATGCCTAGAAGACAGAGTTCTATACACTGCTCCTTCCTCAAGTTCTTACCTACACACACACACACACACACACACACACACACACACACACAAGCACAGTGTTCCCTGAGCCTGGGAAGGGAGGGATGGTATAGATAACTCCTTTCGGTCCACCAATCACTTATTCTCGGTGTTTTGACCAGTTATGAGTTTTTGCACCTACTGCTAAAAGAAGCCTCTCCTAGTTAACTTCAACCATCAACTTGACACAGCCTAGCGGTGACTGGGGAATCTTAGTGGGAGCATGCCCCAATCTTTGGCCTGTGAGCATGTCTGTGGGATATCTTAATTGTTAATTGATGTAGGAGAGCCCAGCCCCTTGTGGGTGGTACCATCTCTGAGCAGCTGGACCTGGGATCAATGGGCACAAATATAAATGTTTAGAAGTCAATTTGATAGATGCATCATGTCCATTTAGCAAAACAGCTGCAGTAGTTCCCTGCATAGGGCCTTCTACCTCTCCAGCCATGGGCTGTTGATTAGGTTTACAGTACCAGATATAAATTTCCTCTTCCTTACCCCCACAGCACTCATAGCACTGTTGCACCAGTTGGTGCATCTTGCCTGGATGGTCAGTTTTATACTGGACTGCATCTACAGCTAAGTGTCATTGTTGGTGGCTTTTCTTGAGCATCCTGCACTGCACCTTCTAGCACTGTGAGAGCTAGCCAGCAGGAATTAGCTTCCAGCTTCTTGATTTCTCTGGGTTCTAACCTGTGATGTTTCCAGAAATAGTGTCATTTTGTGCACTTCTACTGAGCAATTTAAAGCAATGACAATAAGCTGTATTGTTTGAAGGGCCTCTAGGGCCTCGTTGACCAGCAACTTGTTGGGAGATACCACACATCTGATGCTGAGACTCTCCTTTATAAGCTTATGGCATCTAGAAATAACTTTATCTTTATCTACCAATTCAGGATACCTCTGGTCACAGTCTTATTTTTTGGCACTTTTTACATGTATGTAATTTTTAGTATATTTCCTCTACTCTCTCTTTTCTCGCCTCCTCAATGGCCCCCTTTGCCCCTTACACAACTTTATTAGAACTTCCAAGTCTCTCTCCTACACATATATGATTTAATGTACTATATAGAAGCTCAGAACCACAAATCAGAGAAAACATGATATTTTTCTTTGTCTTAGTTAGAATTTCTATTGCTTAGAAGAGACAGCATGACCACATAAGCTCTTATTAAGGAAATCATTTAATTGTGGCTTACAGTTCAGAGGTTTAATCCATTATCATCATGGTGGGACATGGTGGCATGCAGGCAGATATGGTGCTGGAGAAGGAGCTGAGAGTTCTACATGTCAGGCAACAGGAAGTAAACTGTCAGTGGCCACACTGGTCATAGCTTGAGCATAGGAGACCTCAAAGCCTGCCCCTGTTGGAAGGCCCAGTTGGTCAGAGGTTGTAGTCTACCATGGCCTGCCACTCCCTCTGAGCTCAGTGCAACATGGAGGGCTTCCTCCTTCCCAGTGGAGGCTTCCTGCTTTCTACTTGACCTTATTTGGAGAATGTCTCTAGGCCTGGATACCTGACTTAATCTCTATTGTGACTCTTGACACGGTTTTCTGCAAGAGCTTTCTCCCTGCTGCCCATATGGAGACATTATGTTAGGAGCTTTGCTATAGGACCCTGCTGCCACACATGGAGCCTTGTGATAGGAATGTGCTGTTTCATGCAAATTATGTGATGCCCCAGCCACTGTCCCACTCTGGAATAAATTTGAGCTACACTGAAGCAGTCTCCAGGAAGGCTATTTCCATCATACCACAGGCCAGACAAGGGTCCCTTCTGCCTTCTCTGTCCTTGTGGCCTAGTGGCCAATGGACCAGGAAGAAAGAAGTAACCCACATGTCCCCACAGTTATACATTTCCTTCAACAAGGCCACACCTCTTAATAGTGCCACTCCCTATGAGCTCATGGGGGCCAATTACATTCAAACTACCTCAGTCCTTTTCTGTTTGACTTTATTAAATGATTATCTCCTCTTGTATCCATTTTTTTTCTGGGAATGGCATCATTTCATTCTTCTTTACAGCTAAAAGCATTCAACTGAGTGTAGATTCCTCAGTTTTTTAATCCATCCCTGTGTTGTGATTGGTGCTGTTGTAAGCATTGATGTGAAAATGTCTTTTGACTTGTGGACATGGAGTCCTTTAGGTAAATACCAGAGGTGAAGTGTCTGGGTCACAGAGAAGGTCTGCTGTTAGTTTGATTTTGGTTTTGGTTTTTAGAAATCTTCTGATGTCCACAGTGGCTGGAGTAAGTTATATTGCCACCAGCAGCACATAAGGATTCCCTTTGGCCCACTGCCTTGCCAGCATTTGTTGGTATTTGTTTTCTTAAGGGCTACTGTTCCAACCAGGCTAAGACATAGTCTTGGTGGAGTTTTGATTGGAATTTCTCTGAAGGTTGATAAAGTTGAACTTGTTTTCTATTAATTGACTTTTGGTGTTCCTCTTTTGAGATTGTGTGTTCATCTCATTAGCCAATTTATTGATTGAGTTGGTTTCTTTTTGGTTTGTTTTCTACATTCATTTTAGTTTTTGACATCAGTATATAACTTCCAAGGATTTCCTCCCATTCTGTAGGCTGTCTCTTTACTGAACTGTTTTTATAAAAACATTTTAATCACATGGCATCCCTCCCATTGGCCAACTGTTAGCTTTCTTTATTGAGCAATTAGATTCCTCTTGAGAAAAGCCCTGCCCAGGACTATACCTTGATGTGTTTTCCCCACGTTTTTCTCTAACAATTTCAGAGTTTCAGGTCTGAAACTAAGGCATTTGATCCATCTGGAGAATAAGGGGGATTTAATTTCATTATTGTACATATGGATTCCCAGCTTTCATGGGACAGTTTGTTAAAAGAGGCTGTTTTTGCTTTATTGCAAATTCTTGGCATGTTTGTCAAAAAACAGGGCTTGGGAAATGACTCAGTGGGTAAAGTACTCTATGTGGGTTCAAGTGATTAAAATCCACAGAAAGCCAGATGTACCACCACATGGCTATAGCTTTGGTGTTGTCTATGAGGTGTTGTCTATGAAGACAGTACCTCCTGTCCATCCAGCGAATTGGTATTCTCAGTCTCTTCAACTAGGAAAACTAAAGTCAAGTTTTCTTCTGGCTTCTGATGTGGGGGCAAAAAAGATAAAGGAACCAGGACTGTGATCTTTGTTCTTCTTACTTGGTTTAGGCAGTCTCTTGAGTTCCCCTGATTGCAGCTTCAAAACCCTCTGTGGAGAGGGTTTACTGAGACCAGGAAGTTATGAATACTGAGTCAGGAAAGCAAGTTTTAGTGAAAACTTCTTGTTTTTTGGAATTGCACCAGCAGCTTCCCCAATAGAAAAGGTCTGTTTCAAGAGAAAGGTATCATTCCAGGGAGAGTGGAGATCTAGCCAAACTTATTGGGGCTAAATGACTTCTTTAATGGACAGCTAAAGCTCCCCATTCATTAAGGCAGCTGAGCTTTCCTCTAGGACAAATTTTATCTGAGGACAAATAATTCCTTATTCTAGGGCCCTAGAACATCCCTGGCTTCCACCCCCTACGGCATCCCTCAACACACTCATGGCGGTTACTGGTCTCCACACATTGCCTGATGGCCTGTGGAGCTACCACCCCAGGTGAAAGCCACTGCTCTAGGATTAGGATTCTGTTTTGTTTTGTTTCAGCCAAGAATAATAATGCTTAATTTCTAGAATTATGTGTATTTTTTCAATGAATGGAAACAGTTCATTTTCTATGTTGACAAGATTTGCCTGGCCTAAAATGCAGGCACTATCTATTCCAGTGCATCCTCTTTTCCCCTAATCCGTGTTTCAGGCACCCACATGTGAGTTTACTCCTTGCATCTCAGAGCCTTGTCTCAGGCATTCTTTCTCTCTCAGTACCATAAAAAGCAAGTGGTGTTGTGATGAGCACCTGCCATGGGGGAGAGAAAGGTAAAAAGCCCAGAGCAGTTCACCTTTCACCTTAGAAAGAATATTTTGTTATTGGTGATGATTATAGAAGTTTTTAGATGTTCTATAAATATAGTACTTGGAGCTGCTCCTATTTTATACATAGGATTCAGAGAAGACACAGATGCTAATGTTGCTCAGATGGGCACACCCGCCAGTGTGAAACTTGAAAGTGACATGTTAAGTAGGGCAAAGTTGCCATAGGGAACATGCCCTGTGCTAGCACCGCTGGCATTCCACATGGCACTGTCGACAGGTAGACCTCAGGTGACATTTCTGTGAATTAGAGCCCTGATCAAAAGAAATTTCTACAGTGGGCCTGGATGTCACAGCCCTGTCCACTCTGTATAGTCTGTCAAGAGCCAAGGTGGCCAAGGACCTTTGGAGCATTGTCTCCTTGGTTTTATTTATGAAATAAATATATGTGCAAATCAATGGTACAGTGGACATTCTCTCCCCTTCTTGACTCTAGCACTGTCTTAACCATATTCTTCCCTCTTGTCTCTTCCCAGAAATACCTCAGGGAGTTTTTCAGTGTGATGCTCCAGTCTTCGACATCTCCCCTTCACATCAACAAAGTGGGACTGACCCTGTCGAAGCACACCATTTGTGAGTTCTCACCCTTCTTCAAGAAAGGCGTCTTTGACTACAGCAGCCATGGAACGGGATAGATGTGAGGTGACAGAGGAACCACCAACACAGTGCCTTCTCATCAAAGTGACTCCAATGCAGGCAGATGCCTTCCTGCACCAGGATGCCAGCCTGCCTCCTCCCGTTGGGGCAACATGCAGCAGCCCACCCAGACCACCTCACACACCATATCTAGTGCCTGAGTTTGGGAGTGGGCTGCCAAGAGCGACCCTGACCGGCAGTTGTTACTGTACCTCTGCACTTGAACGTGGCCTTTCCCATAGTGCTTCCTTCTCATTGTGCAGCAAGTCAGTCCCCTCTGGCAAATGGATGTGCAGCTTGCTGCTCTTATGGCTCCCAGAGCCAAGCCTACTTGGGACCTCCCAAAGTGGGTGGCTTACCAGACCACCCTTCAGTGACTTTCATCTGGTTTCCTCTTTCACCAAAATATGCTTGTTTTTTTATACTCCTTCCATGTGGCTGGCTATATTTCAAAGATGTTTTAAGTTATGTTGTATTGTTTTGCTTAATTGGATTGGGACTTAATATACCTAAACACTGAAGTTTACACCAAATGCCCTATTCTGCAAAAAGGATCTGTCGGTCAATCATGAAAAGAGTCTTCCATGCCTGATAAACTGGATGTAGGCAACATCACTTAAAACTCATAAAAACCCCTGCAAATAAGACATTGCTTAAACCTTCAATATTTGAGGGCATTTTCCCAAACCTCAATGGCTGTTGTCCATTCGTGAGCTTTTTCTGCATAAAACAAGTGCAAAGCTGGATGCAATCTTTTAAATATCCTTTTGTTCATGTTTTAGTACAGAATCTTCAGGATCATTAGCTAAAAAAAGAGAATTTTCAGTAGTTTATTAATAATCCCTCAATTACTCAGGACATAATGTAGCATTGCACATCTGTGTACAGTGAAACTGCTTCGTTTATCGAAAAGGAAATTGTGAGTAGGAAAAAAATATGTGGTATATATTGAAATGTACATAACTCTACCTATAGATTTATATGTATACACTCCTGTACAATAGTCCAATATCAGGCTGTATAATCACACCAAATTTATTAAAGGTGTTTGCTTTTTCAACTGTTAAATTGAGCTGCTATCAATATTAAATGAAGTCATGAACCCTACCCTGTAGCTCAGTTTATTTTAAGTTTGTAATATGATCATTCCTACCAGGCTATTAGCAATTGATCTGATGTGCTTAGAAAAGATGCCTAATGTATAATTTAGCATTTATGTTGCAGAAGATGCAATCTCAATAATGATCGAAGTACAATGAATGATTGAAGTACAATGCTAATGGAACATGTTTGCATTCAGTCTTCTAGAACATACCTGCCCAGCAGAACTCTTCAACCTTAAAAGTGTGTTTAAAGATGCAGCTATTCCTATAAGGACGATAATAATATTCTTTTAGCATGAAAAATTAAAATGGACTATTTATTTAATTGCCAAAGAAGGACCTGCTTCTCTCTTCAGACATGATTACAGGCCTAGGTTTCATAGCAGTTGAATTTAAAACTAAAGACTAAAGGATAAAAACTGGGAGATAATAATTAGCCACAGGTAATTTATTTAAAAGAAGTCCACGTGCTGAAGATTAACCCTCATTTGCTTGAGTAAGTTTTTTTCAGTTGACCAGATAATCTATCTCTTGCCCTTTTGGGCCTTTATTAAAAGCTAGGCTAATGGAAAGCATTTTGCTAAATTTATACATGATATTTGGCAAGAATAATAGCATATTCATGAGACAATCCTCCTCTTATAGTCTACTTGATAGTGGTTGGAGGCCTAGTACTAACTGGCTCTGGTTAAAGCCAGCAAAGGCATAGAGGTGTCACTCCATCTCCCCAGACCTTGCTCTCCATCTGAAAACAAAGCTATTCTCTGAGATGATTCTAGCTTCCATTTGGACCTATGGCTAGCAGGGGATGAATTATTCCAGTTGGTCCAGCTATAGATGTTTGTGTGCGCATGAACTCCATGTTTCCCATCTGACATAGAGGCTGCCGTATCTGAACTAAACATGAGGGGATGTTGGAAAGCAAGTGAAGAATTATATCTAAACAAATCCTGGAGTATAATGGGTCTCTCTTTATATCAGTAGCTCTCTAATAGTGACATGGAGACTTTTTATTAATTATGAAAGTTTGGCCTTAGCTTAGGCTTGCTCTTAACTAGCTCTTTAAACAAACTAACCATTTTATATTAATCTACATTCTGCCACATGACTTGTTCCTAGCCTCAGTACCAGATGCTTGACTTCCTCTTTGTCTGACTAGCAAATCTCCTGTGTCTCTCCCTGGAAGTCCTGACTATCCTTTTCTGCCTAGCTATTGGCTGTTCAGCTCTTTGTTAGACCAATCAGAAGGTGCCTTAGGCAGGTGAGGAAGGACAGAGACCTCTTCACTTTATGTACGAAAAGCTTATCCCAACAGTGGAGTTCTTTTCTGAGATAAAGATAAGACAGGTGATAAGTCTAGGCTGCCAAAAGAAAGCCTCAATTATTTGAACCAATTTAAAGAAAAAAGAAAAGAAAATTAACAAGTATGTATTGTATTACTGTATTTTCAGGCATCCCAAATACCAACTGGCCACTTTAATGATTCAGACTGAGAAGTTATCCTCTTCTTATACTTTGTTGTCACTTGCACAAATCTGAGGAACTTAAGTAGAAATCTTTTTTTGAAGTAGTTGGCATGCCTTCCTAGATACTGTGTATAAAATAAATGCTTATCAATCTTGTTTAACATCATGTTATAATACCCTTCTGTCCAGTTCCCACACAGACCTTGCTGTCTCTGAATTAGGTTCAAATTCAACCTTGTGACTCATTTAGGCAGATGATTGGGAGAATATGAGTCACGATGACTCAACAGTGACTGAAAGCTTACAAGATTCTCTGGTCATGATGTAGAGATACATGAACAGGATTCCCAAGGTTCCATGGTCCTTTCAGGTTTAAAGACTTACATCTTCAGTAGAAATTTACACATTGATGTAAATAAGTGCTAGGCATGCTCAGTCTGGCTTCTGATCAACCTACACAAGCTCTAGATAGGGCTTTCACCATCTGGATAGAAGCTGTCACAGGATAACACATGGATAAACCTGGAGGATGTCTACTCTATGGAGCTGCTGTGGAGCTGTAACTCCTAGCTTCAGGTCAAGGCATGTTAGATGATACTCTGGGTTTAACTTTATGGGACGTTAATGTGGGTTTTGCCTTGCACGTACACGCTATGCCAATAGATATTTATGTCATTCTACAATGTCAGAATTTATTGGATAACAATGGCATCACAAGGTTAACAACAGGTTCAGAGATTGCAATTTATCATATAATCCTTCCCTGCCTTGGTTGCCTGGCTGAGGCAAATGCGAGCTCTTTTATTCCAGTCATAGTTGCTAATATTAATTCTAACAGCACACAGTAAATATATCTATATCTCTTTGCATATATATGGTTTACAGAACGAATGCAAGTTAAAGAGGCTATAGCAGAATTGAGGAGGTTTCAGAAATGGGCTGAGTCTGTTGATATAGAACCAGTTAAGGGCCCAGAGTTAGAGTTTGAGAATGAAGCGGCAGAGTTAGGCTTTGAGAAGGTAGTCCAGATGGTCGGCAGCCAGGAATGGGTCAGAAGCAGCTTCAGACGGAATAACAGATAGACGGGCAGGCAGTCAAGGGGCCACTACAACAGCAGGAGACAGACAAGCTAAAGCTCCAATCCATGTGGGAAAGTCCACTGCTTCTCAGTCTTGGAGGCACATTCGGTGGGGTGTCAGATGATAGTTTGTCATGGGCCATGCCATCCCCACACCTTGGCAGTGTTAGCAGTGGGGTTCACTATTTCCTTGCTCTGTCCTGGTTGCCTAATAAGCTGTTGAACCCTGGTTTCTGTGGTCCACCCATGTGTCCCTACAGTCTCAGCTCTCCTATTAAGCTAGGATCCTGGCTCCCTCGCTGATCCCAGGAATAAGTCATTTATCAGTCTGTGCTATAGATGTGCCTGATAGATGATGCAGTTCCTGGGTCTACCCAGTGACTGCCATCATCCTTCTTCCTCAAAATGGGGTTGAACATTGGTTGTAAAAATGCTGCACTCTAAGTAATCCCAGTACTCAGGAGGCAGAGGCAGGTGGATTTCTATGAATTCAAAGCCACCTTTCTACATATCAAGTTTCAAGCCAGCCAAGTCTACATACGGAGAACTTGTCTTAAGAATAAAACAAAGAAGTCTCCTAGAGCAAAGCACTCCCCCAAAACTCCACAGTTTTCTCCATTATGGAGTAACTTAGGATAAATCAGAGCCTGACCATAACACACACTTTCTCCACTGCTAGAAAGGAAAGTTCTTTCCCATTCATATGGGAAAGAGGATGTGTTTACAGACAGATGGACCCACCCTCCCACCTGCACCCCCCCCATAAGATAGTGTGCCAGATACAAAGTAGGAAACATAGACAAGAAAATGCAGATGGCCCCACAAAACTTCTGTGTGATGCTGTGTGTTTACATGACGGCAGGTCACCAGGAAGAAAGAAGCTTGTCTCCAGAAGGGAAACCTGGAAGGACAGCATATACAGGGAGCCTGAACTTAAGCCACCCCGACTGCTTGAAAGCAGTAACTTTGCCAAAAGTGTCACACATCCATGTGCAGCTGATGATTGTAGATGAGTGTGTCTTTCTATCGAGCTCACAGTTGTGCCTGAGAACAGCTCAGGAAAGAACTGCCTGAGGCTTCGCTATTCCTGAGATCCCCGCCTTCCTTCTTTCCTTCCTTCCCAGTCTTGTTGCAGGAAGGGAGGAAGGGAGGAAGGAAGGAAAAGAGGGAGGAGGGAAAGCAAGGAGGCAAGGCTGCAGCTGTTCCTTCAAAACTGCCAGAACTAGCTCCAGAGGAAATAATCACAGTGAATAATAACAGTTTGTGAAATTAAGTTTGTTGTTGGTTAATTTGCACTTGGGTTGATGTCTAAACTCTTACCATCTCTTCTCCTAAACACATAAGCTAGGAGCCTGGAAAAGGGGGGAGTGCCATCTCATGCAACTTCTTCGCTGTGTGTTTGAAACTTGTTTTCAATGGCTATAAAAAGAAATGTCGACATAGGATGCAAGCTTTCAGGTGCAAAGTAACTCACATCCTGGCCACTTGTCCAGGTAGAGAGGGTAGAGAGGGTAGAGAGGGAAGGTCGCATTTAGATTTAGAGTGTTTCCCTTGCCTTCCTACACAAGTCTGGGTAAACCTATCCATAGTAGTTTTGTTCTATGGAAGAACTCTTGGTCAAAGAGCACAGGGATCCCTTGAGAGTAGGGGACATGATTGTACCCGAGGGACACCTTGTCTGAAGAGCTTGCTATTACAAGTATTGCCCACGTGTGCATCTCTAACCAGAAACACAGATGCCACTTGTTTACCACAAGCCAGGTCCTCAGTGTGATGTCCTCCTCCTTTAGCCTCCCATGTACCATGACTCTACCCATTGGAATGGTAGAAAGTCTTTCACAGGAAAGAAACAATAAACAGCCATGCTGGGTTGTGGCAGTAGAGAGAGCTTTGTTCTTTTTCATTGCACTTTGGTTAATAGTTTCTAACATGTTTCCTACTTGAAATCCTGTATGTAAGTAAATCCATATGATGGCCACCTCCCCATTACTCTCCTGGAATGGGGGTAAGGGGCTCAGAACAAATTAGTCCACTAATGTGGTTCCACTAGCCACATGCTCAGTGTCAAGGACCACACTGGAACATGGGACAGAGAATGAGAGAGAGACAACTATTTCCTCTTCCATCCTGGTTCCAGAGCTAAACTCTGGTCACTGGGAATAGATTCGCCCCTTCTGTTGTAGGTTCCAGGGATAAAACTTGGGTCATCATGCTTATCAGGCAAAAGCTAATGCCAGCTGAGCTATCTCACTGCCCCTAAACTTATTGTGCTTGGTGCAAGCAAAAAAAGGCCTTTACTGGTCCCCACCAATGAAAACCCTGCCGTTAGGTGACAGACATCACTGTTGGCAATGGCTGCACTAGTGATTGAGATTATGTCACATGGATATGTGTTGGGGACGTTCTCCAAGCTCCGTAACAACCACAGGTCCTAAGTAGTGTAGCCTTGTACCTGGCTGG